CCGGACTGAAAATTTACCACACACGGTGTACCACCATTACGAGCTTCAATTTATTCGCTTACAATAAAATGGTTTGAAAAAACTCGTAGAATAAATAACTGAGAGCTGTGTTGAATATGGAAAAGGTAAGCATAGCTTTCAGTTCGAAGCGAAGGTCAACAAGGAAAACTTACATGCCTGTATATCTCGCTGGAAGTCTTCGTCGGTTCTGGAAGTTCTAAGGTTTTACAGGGTTCCGCAAGCCGTCGTCGCGGGTCATTTTTGCCGACTAACTTTTCTTTAATATTTCACTTTCCGGTAGCTTGTAGAGGCTTACACCTTTTCCTTTTGAATTTTAGTATGTATTTTGACTTTCAACAACAGGACAGTTCACCTCATTTCAACTATTGGGAGTTTTAGAAATTGTTTTCACAAAAGGTCAAACTAGTCAACAAGGACAAAGTGCCGAACTAACTCCTCGGTTACACTCGCGCTTGAATTCACTCTGAAGCATGCTTGCTCGTGACGTCAGACAAGCAAACCCAAGCACGTGCTACAGATTGGAGCAAGCGGGATCTGGTCACATTGAAAGAACAACAAGCTGCTTATTTTTGTCGCGGTTCGATATGGACCAATTCTCAATGCTCCTGTTTTTGTTTACCTTTCTTCGCACTTTCCGCGAACGGGAGAGAAGAAAAACGGCCAACACTTTTTCTTTCACTGAACACCAGGTTGGCACATGGTATTTTTTCAAACATATTAAACATATTTAACGACGCTCAACACAGAAATTGCTTAAGCGCCAAAAAATCTGGGAAAGATCGAGATGTCGAACAATGCTTCACCTGATTGGTCAATTATTTATCTAGCTCAGCTCAAGAGCACTCCGTAGTGCTCTTGGGTTAAGCTGCTGTTCTTTTGAAGTTTAAGCAGCTCCGCCTTCTTTCTTGAGCAAGCAAGCATTGCCAAGTTTGATCGGTCACATTTATAACAAGCTAGGCATTTGCTAGATAAACAAAAATTGACCAAGTAAGCATGATCCTAGCGCAATTGTGACCGAGGGGTAAGTTTGACTATTGCTACGTCACAGTGACGTATATCCAAGATGGCGTAATTCTAACCACGAAAGTTGTAAAAATGGGCTACTTCGAAGCGCTCTTGTCGCTAATGCAAAGCAAACTAGACAAAATGGCAGTTATTTTCGAACTCCTGAGGAAAAATTCTTCCAATTGAGATAAACTTTTTCTAGACCGTACTTTCCCTTTAAAGCATTGTTTAAGTCATTTGAACAAATATAGTTTTTAAATAGCTTTTTACCGTCGAATTATTTCTTACAGTATTTGTCGTATTTAAATGTATCCTACCAACGTGCTTCTTCTTTTATTAGGAACAAGGAAGTACTGATTGTTATGGCAAATAAGTGATGGGTAAAACGGTGATAAATTTTCATCGCTTGTTTTACACGTTAAGTATGAGTTACTCTTAAAAATGTTCTTAATTCCTTATGACCTATGCGATTTCTTAAGCAAACTGACGCACCTTAGTCCTGCGCACTCTCATTACCATTGTCCAGGCTCTTTCTCCGCAGTTATGTATTCCGGTCATCCTACATCTTGTTGTCCACGTGTCATTACCAACAGTTATGTCGTAGAATCCGTTAGGGGCTTGACTATAAAGAAGCTTATAATAACAGTTCTTGCTTCAGTCTGACAATCTTATCTTTTGGGCGTGTCCTGGATGTCACGCTTATCAAATAAGAACACAGTTTGCATTGCTGGGCTGTGCTCTAGCGGAGCTTAGGTGCCACACGCGACTCACTTATACATTTTGGAAACTGCGGTAACTTTCCTTTTAGGAAGCCTTAAAAAGTTGGGCACACTGAATTTCTGAGTCCAGAACCCTCCTGCAACTAGAGTACAGTTTTGTACTGCATTGCTTATTTTTCGAAAAAAATTCTAACTTGCTCTAGTTACAGTACTTATCTCTCCTAAAAGGCCACTTGTTAAACACCACATTTGTAAACTGGCGCTAAAAGGTAAATTGATTAGGCTGTCTATTCCCTGCTAGACCACAAAACCCAACTATCAACTTTTACCGCCGTTATGGTGCGTTGAGCAGCTTAGGAATTACGCAAGCCTCCATGTTCCCTTTATGCCCGAAGGCCGCGGGTTTGTTGCTTACCAAGATGGACTTTGGAAAACTGAGAATTAAGGCCCAAAACTTATAAAAAATATTGTATCTCGCACAGTAGTCAGTCACGTACCTGTTCGTAAGCTGAATGTCGCTACAAGACGCTGGTTTTGTAGAATAATTTCCTTGATGACCTTTAAATTCAGAAAAAAAAAATTAGAAGAGGTTTCTCACAATGATCACGAATTAACGATAGTGACTTGTTCGTGTCGCCTTGCTGGACTGAAAACACTTCACTTATGAGTTACAATAGCTACTATTAGCATCATCATCTTAGTTTTCGGTTTTTCTATCGCTCTTATTACTTAAAGTGCTACTGCGACCAAAAATGCACCTTTTCTTTTCTCCTCAGAGGTTGAAAGTACTTACCCTAAGTAACAAATTTGCCAAATCTTAAGGCAAAACTCCATCGAGAAGTAATATTTTCCCTGTAAGTTCGCGATCTAAACGGCCGCCATTCTTCGAACTACAGAACTCCGCGCGAAGAAGAAGAAACTGGATCGAGAACGGAAGTGACGTCAACGACTCAACAAACGTGGCTAATTTGGTATGCCGAGAGAGAGTTGTTTTTCTGGTTCCGCAGGAAAGAAGGAATAAAATTCGAAAGAATTGTTCCCCAGCTTTCTTTTGCGTATTTCTTGTAAAGGCATGCCTTCGCGACGTTGTCGAAGTGAGTCGATGACGTCACAACTAAAACCGCTGTAGTTATTTTCGCGGGCTCTCCAGTGTGTTATTCGAGCAATGGCGGAAGAATTTTTAATGTCTTCGCGGCGCTGTTTTTAAGGAATAACGTTGTCAAATTTGAGAAACTTACGCTTATTCTTATAGTTTAGGGTCTAAATGTGAAGTTAACACCAGAAAATTGGGAAAATAAAATGCAAAAATTTCGTCGCAGTAGCACTTTAANAGCTTCATGATTTAATGCAGCAAGACCCAAGGGAACCGATTTAAAGTGCTACTGCGACCAAAAATGCACCTTTTCTTTTCTCCTCAGAGGTTGAAAGTACTTACCCTAAGTAACAAATTTGCCAAATCTTAAGGCAAAACTCCATCGAGAAGTAATATTATTTTCCCTGTAGATTCGCGATCTAAACGGCCGCCATTCTTCGAACTACAGAACTCCGCGCGAAGAAGAAGAAACTGGGTCGAGAACGGAAGTGACGTCAACGACTCAACAAACGTGGCTAATTTGGTATGCCGAGAGAGAGTTGTTTTTCTGGTTCCGCAGGAAAGAAGGAATAAAATTCGAAAGAATTGTTCCCCAGCTTTCTTTTGCGTATTTCTTGTAAAGGCATGCCTTCGCGACGTTGTCGAAGTGAGTCGATGACGTCACAACTAAAACCGCTGTAGTTATTTTCGCGGGCTCTCCAGTGTGGT